TATGCCTTCTGCCCTTGATCACAGGTACTCAACCAGCCCTAGTCAAGAGTGCTTCAGACCTCCTTAAATTAAGGAGACGGAGAATGGAGGCAGAACATGGTCTCAGCATCAAAGTTTTTAAATTGCAGGACAGAGAAAAACTTTAAGGCTTATAGAAAGTGCAATTTACACCAGAGGCCTCTGGCTAGAACCAAGGGAGAAAACACTGGGCAGTTAAAGGTTCTCTACCATTCACGCTGGATGCCCCGCACATGTACACGAGTTCTGAAGGATCATTACTTTTTTAAAATTCCCTTCAATTAAATTGTTATGAAAATTTTCTCATCCATATGATTATTGTACATATAGTTGTGAGAATTAACTGGGTTAGTCTTGGTGAAGGCCTGATGTATAGAAAATGTTCAATAATTCCTCTTTCCCACTTGAAAGATTTGGAGGCAGTTCTTGAACCACACTGTGGAACTCAATTTGTGTCTCATGATCAGTCTCCCAGGAGGAGGGAGGGGAGGCCTGAAGCCGTCATAGCCATCTCTGCCCTCAGGATTGGCTTCGCCATCGCCCGGCGTCTGGCCCAGGACGGGGCCCACGTGGTGGTCAGCAGCCGGAAGCAGCAGAACGTGGACCAGGCACTGGCAGCGCTGCAGGGGGAGGGGCTGAGCGTGTCTGGCACCGTGTGCCACGTGGGGAAGGCTGAGGACCGAGACTGGCTGGTGGCCACGGTGAGGAGATGGGTAGGGTTTGGAGGTAGAAAGAGGAAGAGTGGTTATTTTAAAAACAAATGAACAAGCAAACAAGCACAGGAATGAAGGCTGACCATGTGCTCGGCATTGGTTACTCCAGAGCCTGAACAGGTTTACAGATCTTGGAGGAGAGATGTTTTAAGTCTGATGAGGAGAAACAGCTCTCCACCCTCACTTGGTGTGGTCCCCTCCTGGATTTAGCCAGGCGACCCAGCAGGGAGAGCAAACAGGAAATACCTCCCACTGCAACAGAAAACTTCTTTTGCTTCCTGACCCTGGTCCTCATTGCCCCCTTCTCCCTGCAGGCCCTGAGACATTCTGGGAATGTTGACTTCCTGGTGTGTGTGGCAGGAGTGAATCCCTACGTGGGAAGTACCTTGGGGAGCAGTGAGGAGGTCTGGGACAAGGTGAGGTCTGGGGACACCAGGTAGGGCTGACGGATGTCATCCTCACCCTCTGCACGACCCTCTTTCCATCTCAGCCCCCACACACCTTCCCCTCACAGACTCAATGGCACCATGCAAGCCAGGTGCCTGGACTCTGACACTCAATTCCCCATCTGTGAGATGGAGGTAAGAGTGTCTACAGTAAGCATGTCAAATTCATGGCCACCACGCGTTTGACATGCTTGCTACACCCTAGTTCTGATCCCCA